CCTGAACTCTGGGCCTGGGCACTGTCCCTCAGCTCTTCAGCTCAAGGCTAGCACTCTACCACTTGAGCCACAGCACCACTTCCAGCTTTTTTCTTATGTTATGTGGTGCTGAGGAATTGAACCCAGGGCCTTGTTGCATGCAAGGCAAGCGCTCTACCACTGAGCCACCTTCCCAGCCCCACAATTACTGTTTCTAAATGTCTAAGTATAAGAAGCCAGGTGCTGGTGACTCATGCCTTTAATCCTATCTATTTGGAGGCTGAGATTCAGAGGAATGAGGTTCCTTGTCCACCAGGGCAGAAAAGTCTGCAAGAGTCCATTAGTAGGGAAGGAAGTTGAACAGAGTTGTGCATGCTTCTTATCCCAGCATTATAAGAAGCCTAATGTAGGGGAACTGCATCTCAGCACGTGCCACAGCTGTAAGCAATAGTCTATCCTAAAGTAAGTAGCAGAGAAACAGAGCTGGAAGTGTGGCTCAGCAGTAGAGTGTCAGTCTGGCAAATGTGAAACTGGGAGTTCAAATTCCAGTACCACACACTAGGAGCTGGTAGCTCACACCTATAATCCTAGCTACCTAAGAAACAGATCTAATGATTAGGGGTCAAAGCCAGCCCAGGTAGGAAAGTCACTGAGACTCTTATCTCCAATTAACCACCCACAAGCCAGAATTGGAGGTGTAGCTCAATTTGTAGAGCACCAGCCTTGAGCAGACAAAGCTACAGGGCAGTGCCAAGGCCCCAGTAGTGTGCACACATGTACACACACACACACACACACACACACACTGTGCATTTCTTAAGCACTTATTTTATAACATATACCTTTCTTTCTTTTTCTCTTTTTTTGGTCAGTCATGGGGCTTGAACTCTGGGCCTGGGTGTTTTCCCTGCGGGTGCTTTCCCTGTGCTCTTCAGCTCAAGGCGAGCACACTACCGCTTGAGCCACAGCACCACTTCTGGTTTTCTAGTGGTTTATTGGAGCTAAGAGTCTCACAGAGTTTCCTGCCAAGGCTGGCTTTGAACCATGATCCTCAGATCTCAGCCTCCTGAGTAGCTAGGATTATAAGCGTGAGCCACTGGCACCCAGCTTTTTGGCAGTACTAGGGTTGGAACTCAGGGCCTCACATTTACGAGGCAGACATTGTACCACTTCAGCCACACCTTCTGAATCTTTTGCTTTAGTTATTTTTCAGATAGTGTTTTGTGTTCATGGCACTAGCCTAGACCACAATCTTTCTACCTATGGCCTCTCAGTAGGAATTGTTGATATAAGCCACCACACTGAGTTTATTTGGTGAGATAGAGTCTCATTAACTTTTTTTTTTGGGGGGGGGTCAGTTGTGGGGCCTGAACTCAGCCTGGGCACTGTCCCTCAGCTCTTCAGTTCAAGATTAGCGCTCTACCACTTGAGCCACAGAGCCCACTACCAGCTTTTTCTGTTTATGTGGTGCTGAGGAATCGAACCCAGGGCCTCATGCATGCTAGGCAAGCACTCTACCACTGAGCCACCTTCCCAGCCCCCTCATTAACTTTTTACTCTCTATCTGAGTATCTAGGACTACAGGCATGTGCCACCACATATGATCAAAGAAGAAACTCTTAAAGCCAAAGTCAACAACAGCTCTTAACCCATACCGATGCTGGCATACAATATGAAAACTAATATTAATACTAGCTAAATCATTCAGAGTAAAAGTATCTTCATATTTTCCTTTTTTGAGTGCTTGGAAACAAATACTTTTGAAAAACTTTTGAAAACTGGGTACTGATGGCTCATATTTGGTTCACTCATGGGGTAGACACCACTGGCTCACACCTGTAATCCTAGCTACTCAGGGGGCTGAGATCTGAGGATCATGGGTTCAAAGCCAGCCCAGGCAGGAAAAGTCCATGAGACACTTTTTTTTTCAGTTGTGGGTCTTGAACTCTGGGCCTGGGCACTATGCCTGAGCAGTTCAGCTCAAGGCAAATGCTCTACCACTTGAGCCACGGCACCACTTCCAGTTTTCTGGTGGTTAATTGGAGATAAGAGTCTTACGGACTTTCTTGCCTGGGCTAGCTTTGAATCATAATACTGAGATCTCAGCCTCCTGAGTAGCTAGGATTACAGGTGTGAGCCATCAGTGCCTGCCCCGTGAGACTTTTATCTCTAATGAACCACTAGAAAGTACCCAAGTCCTGAGTTCAAGTCCCATGACTGACAAAAAAAGGGAAAAAAAAGTCTCAAGAAACTTTTGTCTGAGGTTGTAGATACTAGGTTCAGAAAAACTAAGTTACCTTGCCCATTGTGTTGTTGTTGTTTTTGTTGGTGCCTGGGTGCTGTCCCTCAGCTCTTCAGCTCAAGGCGAGCACTCTACCAAGCCACACTGCCACTTCCGGTTTTCTGGTGGTTTACTGGACATAAGAGTCTCATGGACCTTTCTGCCCCGGCTGGCTTTGAACCACATTCCTCAGATCTCAGCCTCCAGAGTTGCTAGGATTATAGGCATGAGCCACAGATGCCTGGCTTCTATACAATTTTGTCGATTTTCTTTCAATAGAGATGCCAAATAAAATGAAGGTAAAGTATTACATGAGACATAATTATACTTAAAATAATTGCTTATCTGAAATTCAAATTTAAGTTAGCATCCTGTATTTTTATTTACTAAACCAAGGAACTCAATTTTTAGTGTAGGTTTGTTTCAACACTAAATTTCATTGCCAGGAAAAGATTTCATATCATCAAAAGTTGGGTAATTCTTTACCTTTTAGGAACTTCTTAAGGCCCAAACCATAAATGTTTCCTGAAGATCCAACTGTAAGAAATAGGATACAAAGGGACTATCACAAATGAAACAATTACATGTGTTTTATCTTTTTAAAAATCAAATGGAAGTCTAAAAACTTTGCTCTTAGACACAGAACATTAGAAAGAGACAATACCAATGAGTACATTTTTTAAAAAAAATGAAAGCAGCTGGGCACTGATAGCTCATACCTATGATCCTAGCTACTCAGGAGGATGAGATCTGTTGATCATGGTTCAAAGCCAGCCTGGACAGGAAAGGCTGTAAGGCTCTTCTTTTTTTTGGGGGGGGGGTCCGGTCGTGGGCCTGAACTCTGTGCCTGGGCGCTGTCCCTCAGCTCTTCAGCTCAAGGCTAGCGCTCTACCACTTGAGCCACAGCACCACTTCTGCCTTTTTTTTTTCTGCTTATGTGCTTGGGAACAAGCACATAAGGAATCGAACCCAGGGCCTCATGCATGCAAGGCAAGCACTCTACCACTGAGCCACCTTCCCAGCCCTGAAAGGCTCTTATCTCCAATAAACTACTCAAAAAAGCCAGAAGTGGCACTGTGGCTCAAGTGGTAGAGCACTTGCGTTGAGCAAAAGAAGATCAGTGATCGTGCCCAGGCCCAGAGTTCAAGCAAAATAGAAAAGAAAAGAAAGAAAGAAAACACCAAAGTACTATGAGGTATAATGACTATTTGAAGGCACGAGTCCTTCATGAAAATGACCAAATGACAAGTCTTTTTCACTTACATTCAACACTTACCTATACTCTATACCAGAACTATCCTTTTGGATATTACTATGTTTCATAGAAAAAGATTAAGAAGACTGAAAGTTGCAACTAGGAATCAGAGTAGATGTTTATAATGCCTATTTTAGTATGATTCAATTAAAGTTTTAGCCCTTCTAACAATTTACTATTATTAAAAATGTTTTTGTTACTTTTGGCTTAGCATTGGTGGCTCATGTCTGTAATACTAGCTACTCAAGAGGCTGATATCTGAGGATTGCAATTTCAAACCAGTCCAGGCAGGAAAGTCTAATCTACAAGTAACCACCAAAAGGCCAGAAGTAGAGCTGTGGCTAAAGTGGTAGAGTGCTAGCCTTCAACAAAAAAGCTCAGAGACAGTGCCTAGGCCCTAATTTCAAGCCCCAGGACCTGCACACACACACATTAAAAAAGTTTTATATTTTTTAAGCTTACATTAGTGATACAGAGAATTTCATTGTTCTGTTTTCACATATGATTACAAAATGTTTCAATCAATCTCATTCCTTCTATTACTCTCCCTTCTCCAGCTCTTGCAAAAAAATATTGGCTTATATTAATTATATAAATGTGGACTTCACTGTTACACATTTTCATATGAATTTATTCTTAAATAGTTGATATTTTACTAGGCAATCAGGTAAGAATTATTTGTACCTGAAGCTCCAGATCTGAAATTGCAACATTTAGAAAAATAAGTGGGCAGAGTAAAGAAGGATGCAGGTCTTTAGAAGTGTAAAGAAGATCAAAATCAATGGAAATTATCTGTGCAACTTGGGAGGAGGTTGTGGGGAAGGGAAAGTAGGAGAAAAATGAAGGAAGGGGTAACAAGTTTGACAAGAAATGTACTTATTACCTTATATAACTAACCCCTCTGTATATCATATTGACAATGAAAAACCATTAAAATAAATACATAAGTATATAAGAAGATCAGAACCTCCTTGAGGCTCTTTTTTCCCCCCAAATAGAACATGCCTTTCCCCACAGGGATGTACCCTATCGTTAAGATCTGAGTCATGTCTTAGGATCCAATGGCAAATGTGTCTCTCCTTCCAAAAAATGTATATTTGCATGCAGGGAAAAAAGTTGACAATCACTGGACTAGAGTGAGTGCCACCACTGTTCTTTAAATATATGCCATCTGGAAATGCAAATAAAAACTACATTGAGGACAGGCTAGCATGGTGACTCAGCCTGTATTCTTAGCTACATGTGAGAGCTCAGGTAGGATTTCAGCTTGAGGCCAACCCAGGGAAAAAGTTAATGGGAGCCTATCTCAGTCATAAGCTTGATGTCCTAAGCTGTGATGGCATGTCTATGATCCTAGCTACATGGAAGTACCATATGTTCCAGTTATATCACTTCTGGGTATATACTTGAAGGAATCTAAGTCAGCATACCACAGACATGCCAGTACATCAATGATTTATTGCAGCACTATTTATAATACTAAATTATGGACTCAGTCAAGGTGTCCATCAATAGATGAATGGATAAAGGTGTGGTATATATACATAATCGTATTTAGTCATAAAGAAGAACAAATTGCTTGGCACCAGTGGCTCATGCCTATAATCCTAGCTAATCAGGAGGCTGAGATCTGAGGATCAAGGTTTGAAGCTAGCCCAGAAAGAAAAGTCCCCGTGAGATTCTTTTTTTTTGGGGTGGGGGGAAGGGGTCGGGTCGTGGGGCCTGAACTCTGGGCTTGGGCGCTGTCTCTCAGTTCTTCAGCTCAAGGCTAGCGCTCTACCACTTGAGCCACAGCACCACTTTGGCTTTTTTCTTTTTGCTTATGTGGTGCTGAGGAATCGAACCCAGGGCCTCATGCATGCAAGGCAAGTGCTCTACCACTGAGCCACCTTCCCAGCCCCATCCCTGTGATATTCTTAACTCAAATTGACCACTCAAAAACCAGAAATGGAGCTGAGGCTCAAAGTAGTAGAGTGCTAGCCTTGAGCAGAGAAGCTCAGGGACAATGTCCTGGTCATCAGTTCAAGCCCCACAACCAACAATAACAACAAAAAAGAACAAATTAGCCGGGCACTGGTGCTCATGCCTGTAATCCTATCTACTCAGGAGGCTGAGATCTGGAGGATCGTGGTTCAAAGCCAGCCCAAGCAGGAAAGTCCGTGAGACTCTTATCTCCAATAAAACCACTAGAAAACCAGAAGTGGTGCTGTGGCTCAAGTGGTAGAGCGCTCGCCTTGAGCTGAAGAGCTGAGGGACAGCGCTCAGGCCCAGAGTTCAAGCCCCATGACCGACAAAATAAACAAACAAAAAAAAGAACAAATTTAACAGGGCACTGGTGGCTGAGATCTGAGGACTGTGGTTCAAAGCCATCCCAAGCAGGAAAGACTGTGAAACTCTTATCTCCAATTAACCACCAGAAAACCAGAAGTATAGCTGTGGCTCAAAGTGGTAGAGTGCTAGCCTTGAGCACAAAAAGCTCAGGGACAATACCTAGGCTCTGAGTTCAAGCCCCACAACTGAGAGAAAGAGAGAAAGAGAGTGGGAGGAGAATAGATGAAGTACTATTTGGGAAGAGAAAGGGGACCAATGCAAAGGGGTAGGCAGAGACAAGAGAGTACAATGGGGGAGGAATATAATGAAAACATATATATATATATATAAAGTATATATGTATATGTGAAATATAATGATAAAACTAATTAAAAAGTACCAAAAAAAAGAAAATTAGTTGTTCCAGAGCCACTCAATGCATTAGTTTTCTCTTGAGAGAATAGAGAAAAATGATGAAAGAAAAGACTAAGAACCAGCCAGTCACTGGTGGCTTACAGTTGTAACACTTGCTACTCAGGAGGCTGAGACCGAGGTTCAAAGACATTCCCAGCAGAAAAGTCCTTCAGATTCCATATCCAATTACTTAGCAAAATGCCAGACTAGAGGTATGGTTCAAATAATAGAGCACCAGTCATGAGTAAACAAGCTAGGTGAGAACATGAGGCCCTGGATTCTAGCCCTGGTGCACACGTGCATGCGTGAGCACACACACACACACACACACACACAGAGTAAAAAGGTTTATTAAAGTATGCACCATTCATCTTTTCTTTCCCCTTTTGCAATTGCCAGCATCTGGACATGAAAGAAAAAAACAGAGAAAGCAGTAAATTTCATGGTGAGAGAGCAGATTATAATTGTGAGCAAAAGTTGTTTATGAGCAATTTTAGTTGAAGCCAGTAAATAATCTCATGGTAATCCTTCCACACTTAGTTTCCAGAGTAGCTGAGGTGAAACAGGAACACCAGTGTGCCTAGCTACTGGTTGAGATTGGGGGGGGGGGCGGTGTCTCACAAACACTTTGCCCAAGCTGGCCTTGAACTGAAATCTTCCCAGTCTCTACTAACCAAGTCATTTTGGGTTGTTTTGGTTTTGGTTTAGGCAGTACTGGTGGGGTTTTTTTTTGGTTGGTCGTGGGGCTTGAACTCTGGGCTTGGGCGCTGTCCTTGCACTCTTCAGCTCAAGGTGAGTGCTCTACCACTTGAGCCACAGCACCACTTCCGGTTTTCTAGTGATTTATTGGAGATCAGAGTCTCATGGACTTTCCTGCCCGGGCTGGCTTTGAACCTCGATCCTCAGATCTCAACTTCTGAGTAGCTAGGATTACAGACATGAGACACTGGTACCCGGCCTAGTACTGGTGTTTTAACTCAGGATTTTGCACTCATATGGTTTACTTCTGGTTCTCTACCACTTGAGTCATATCTCCAGTCATATCTCTTACTTTGAAGACAAGAATTTCATAAGGTTTTCTGCCCAAGTTGTCTTTGAATCATGATCTTCTGGATCTCAGGCTCCTGAATTGCTAGTATTATAAGCATGTGCCACTAGTGTCTACCCAGCTTATTTTGTTTTTTTAACTCTCTGATAAATGTGATGATTAATTGAAATTTCTATATTAACTATGACATAAATCATGACAACACAACAATAGAAAATCAATAATTTCTTCCTCTACTTACTAGTTGTTACACAATGAAGAGAATTTGCCTGGTGCTTAGAATTTAATGCTTCTATGGAAATCACTAGCTGCCCTTCTAGCAATGTTCCCTTTGATACTCCAGTTTCACACTTCCAGTGTATTATTAAGTATCTCAAAATCTGAAAAGAATACAATGAAACCACAATCACTTTTAAAAATTATGTTAAGAATAATTTGTATGACACAGTTAAATCCGTAACCTTAATACAAAATACTGTATTCCTCCTTATAAAATGCCAGATTTATATTTATTCAGGGCATAGCATTGTGTCTCCCCCCCAAAAAAAATAGCTAGAGGAGTGACAGAAGGGAGGAGTCAGTGAAATTCAACATGATGCCCTACAAGGCAGGAAACAGATAGTAAACTGCTGTATTCAGAGAGAAGTTCAGCTAAAAAGAAAAACTAAGGAAAAATTCAGTGGTACTTTGTTTTTTTTGTTTTCTGCTCCAAACATCAACTCAAAGACTATAAAATGACCTATGGCTATAAATCATCTTTATTTTTCAGTGAATCAACACTTTTGGATTTTTGTTTTTGCGCTTGAACTCAGGACACTCTCTCTTAAGCTTTTTCACACTCTACCACTTGAGCCACAGCTCCACTTCCAAACAGAGGAAGTATTATTTAAGAGTGTCAGAGGCAAAAGTTTAGGTTTGTATTCCTGATGTACCAAATTCTAGCCTGTGACCTTGGGCTACTTTCTCAACCCTTTCTGGAGTCCCTCCGATTCATTATAAAGATAAGAATAAACCTATCACATATGTTGATACTGAAAATAGAGAAATATGTGTAAAATGATTAACAGTGCCTGGCATACAGTAACTACTAAGTAGATATTTGCTATTATTTATCACAAGTTCATCTGCAAGACTATCCACTGTATTTTAAACTGAATAGGACCCCAAAATGTCTGAATAAAACATTGTCTTTTCTGCTTATATTTGAGTTCCTGGGGTTATCTGGCTGTTTGAAACAAGGTCTCACTATGTAGCTCAGACTGGCCTAGAATTGAAGATTCATCTTTAAAAAAAAAATACTACCTTTATTATTTTTTTCTGGGGGGGGGGTCCGGTCGTGGGGCCTGAACTCTGGGCCTAGGCACTGTCCCTCAGCTCAGCTGAACGCTAGCACTCTACCACTTGAGCCACAGCACCACTTCTGGCTTTTTTCTTTTTGCTTATGTGGTGCTGAGGAATCAAACCCAGGGCCTCATGCATACAAGGCAAGCGCTCTACCACTGAGCCACCTTCCCAGCCCAGGAGTATCTTGCTTTAGCTTCTTACATGTTAAAAATACAGATATGCACCATTGTACCTAGCTGAAACATTCAATCTTGATGACATAATTAAAACACAATATATTTTAAGAAGATTCACTTCCACAAGGAGAATTATCACCTCCTTCCCCTTTTCCTTTTCTTTCCTGTGTGTCTGTTGTGGCACTTGAATTCCCTGAGCCTTTTTGTGCTCAAGGCTAGCGCTCTGCCACTTTTTCACAGCACCACTTCTGGTTTTTGAGTGGTTAACTGGAAATAAAGAGTCTTACGGGGACTTTTCTGCCTGGGCTGGCTTTGAACCGTGATCCTTAGATCTTAGCCTCCTGAGTAGCTAGGATTACAAGAATGAGCCACCAGCCCTTGGCCCTTTCCTTTTTTCTTAAAGGCAGGGAGATCTAACTAAGAGAACTTGGGTACTAAGATCCTAACTTGCACTACAGTTCATAAGGGCAGTTTCTGGACATTTCTACAGTGTATTGCTTTCTTTGACACCTCCTTCTATTCAGTCTCTCCCAACGTACCTTTAAACATGAGAACAGATGGGGAAAAGAACACTGGCCAGACTCAGCACCCTGGGTTCCATGCCCTCTAATGTCGAATTTTTGGCAGGAACCAAGAAGACAGGAGGCCCAAGACCCTCTAAGGTATCACCTCTACTTCACCTGCCCAGGGTCCCTTCCAAGGCCACGAGCTGCCAGTGTTTTAGATGGGCGTGAAGCATGGGGCGGAACCATAGCCAGTTTTTCAATGCCAGATTCCCTCACAGATTCCCGAGCCTCGATGAACTCGAGTGGGAAATGGGGGATGGTCTCTTCCCCACGCAAGGGTGAACCTCCCCATCCTCCCAGAGGCCCCACCACCACCCCGTGAGACTGCCCAGGGCTTCCAGGCCCCCGGGTCTCCCCACACCCCTACGAAGAAGTGACAGCGTTCACGAATTCGCCGTGCGTTCCCGAACCTTCTTCCTCCACTTCCGGCAGCCCCGCCCCCACCCGCCCCCATGCCCCCCCCTCTACCCAAACTTCGAGGTCCCCTCACAGAGCCCGTCTCCTTAGAAAGTGCCTTTCTCTAATTTTTCTTCCTTCCTGGCATCACCTCGCAGACGGCCAAAGCCGTCCCCTCCATTCCGCAAGAGAAGCAACAGCCCCACTCAGTGAGAGGCCCCAGCGGGCGGCCTCCGCCTCGCCTCAGGGGCTTCGACTCCGACAGGCGCCCAAGGCCGGCCGCGCGAGCCCTTCCCGCCCTTCCCGCCCCGCCCATACAGCGGTGCCACGCCCACTATAGCCACGCCCCTAGCCCACCACGCCCGCTCTGGCTCCGCCCCGCTCCTGTCCGGCCTCTCTGGCACCGCCCCGCTCCAGCCCCGCCCCGCTCTGGCCCCGCCCATGCGTGACGCACCTGCGCGCTGGGCGCCCTCCCACCCATCACCACCCTTGATCCGAGAGCTGTGGCTGGCAGTGGGCGGCTGGCTGGCTGGGTGGATGGGCGGGGCGGCCGGCTGGAGCCCGCGGGCGGCGGCTGGAGCGGGAGGTGAGCGGGAAGGCGGCCAGCAAGGGACTCCTCCCGACGACACTTTCCCACGGTTCCGCGAGACGCGGCGCTCGGCCTTGTGCAAAGCGCTTAGCTAGAGTTCCCAACTCCGGCGAAGAAACGTACCCATGCCAGTTAAAACGGAATTTCAGAGAACCGGTTTTTTCCTCATGAAGTATTTGAGACAAATAATGAGAAAATTATTCGTTAACCTGAAATGTATTTATTCTATTTTAATTTTTGTCGGTCTTGGGGCCTGAACTCTGGGCCTGGGCACTGTCCCTCAGCTCTTCAGCTCAAGGTTAGCCCTCTACCACTTGAGCCACAACACCATTTCTGGCTTTTTTCTTTTCTTTTTTTTTTTGCTGGTCATGGACCTGAACTCTGGGCCTGGGCGCTGTCCCTCAGCTCTTCAGCTCAAGGTGAGCGCTCTACCGCTTGAGCCACAGCGCCACTTCGGTTTTCTGGTGGTTCATTGGAGATAGGAGTCTCACGGACTTTGCTGCCCAGGCTGGCTTTGAACCGCGATCCTCAGATCTCAGCCTCCTGAGTGGCTAGGATTACAGCGGGAGCCCCTGGCGCTGGCTCTTCCCCAGATTGAATGCACTAAATGTGCGGCTAAGCCCTGGCGTTTCTCCAAAACCTACCCTAGGTGGATCGCAGGGTCCACAGGACTTAAGCCCATAACTGTTGATGACCTGGCAGCCAAAAGCAGGCGCTGGTGAGAGATTCCTGCCAAGCAAAGAGTTGCCCAAGGAGTAGGGAGGGACAGGGTGTGGGCTGCTTTCCTTCAGGGAAAATTCTTCCACTCCAACTCCAAGTAACCAGGATTGGACGGATCAGGCTGTGAGCTGGCTGAGTGCCTACCCAGTATGCAACCTTGGTGTTACTCCAAAGAACGTGTCTATTGGAACCTGAATCATACCCTTTCTCCAGTCCCTGCTCAGCAATATTACCCCTTCTCCCTGCTCACAGGGAGATATATTAGACACTGGTGGCTTTTATTTCTGGGAAATTCATTATAACTATCAGGTTTGATAAGAGAACTGGAATTTGGGGAATAATCTGTGTCTCTCTCGCTCTCTGCCTTTTTAGAAGAGTTGCAGAAGGAAAAGGAGTTAACCTTGTTGGATGATTGTGGCAAGATATCTTCACTATTTGTGGTGATAATTAAGGATGGGTCTTTAGCCCCTATTGAAAGCTGGGCACCGGTGGCTCATATCTGTAATCCTAGGTACAGGAGGATGAGATCTGAAAATTATGGTTTGAAGCCAGCCAGGGCAGAAAAGTCCATGAGAGTCTTATTTCTAATTAACACCAAAAAGTCATAAGTGAAGTTGTGGATCAAATGGTAGAGTGCCAGCCTTGAGTGATAGCACCTACGCCTTGAATTCAAGCCCTAGTACTGGCACCAAAACAAAATAGCCCCATTGAAAGCAAGGAGAGGGAAGAGAAGGATGAAGGGTGAATAAAATACCAAAATACATTGCATCTATGTATGAAGATGGCATAGTAAATCTCACTGAAAGCTGTCTAACAATTGAAAATGGGGAAGACGGGGAAAGAGCAATAGAGGGGATTGGTGAAACCTTGCTACAGTTAATGCACACTAACTGAATGAATAGAGGGTAAATAAAGGCAAATATGGACAAATATATACGTGTATGAAAATGGAACAGTGAAACCAGTTGAAATTGCTTTTAAAAGGGGGATAAGGGAAATAAATAGACTGAGACTGATGAGGTACATTATATATAAGTATGGAAATATAGTGAAACCTCTACTTGTACAAGTAATTTATGCTAATAAAAAAAGTGAAGAAAAGTCCCCATTGAAAGTGCCAGCTCAGTAGAAATATTCCACCTTGAGAATGGCTTTGGGAACGTAGGGTAGAGAAATAGTTGCCAATGGCAATTGCTGGACATCTTGGCTTCCAGACCTCTTCCACGGAATGAGCCTAAAGGATGAAGTTGCAGGGAACATCAACCACCATCCTAAAAGCAAAGAGGCCTAATAAAGATATGCCAGGACACAATGCTGTTCCTACCCAATCTGGACAGAAGGGAAAGAGGAAGCCTTGGATACGAGGGCCAACCACCGGGACCTCTAATAGCAGTTACTCTTGTAGTCAAGCAGGATTTAACATTCAATGAGTACTGGTTCTGTGCTAAACACTTTCCCCCTTATTTATCTTAAGTAATCATCCCTGGTAAAGGAGGTGTTGTTATATCATAATTGATGGAAATGATGCTCCAAGGTATAGGTAACATGACACTAAGTTTATAAAATATCAAAGCCAGAATCTGAACAAAAAAGTGAACCCCAATTCCATTTCCTAACAGCTACCCTGGCTGCTTGGAGGGTCTGCAGTGTGGGAGCCTCCACATTACTGTGAGACCCCCAATCATCCTCTGCAGGATCTCCCTCCAAAAGCTTCCACTCTGCATCTCCCAATCCATCCGTGTATGCCACGGGTTTGGGCCTAGTAATAATATGCTATTGGACTCCACACTACTAAAACTGTTTTTACTCAGATCCTATCCACAGAGCAATCACTTGTCAGAAATGACCACTAGGCAATCACTTAACTTCAACAGATAAGGCTGTATGAATCACAGAGATTATGTGACCTACCCAAGGTCACTTTAGTCATCCAAAGAGCCTTTGAAGATGGCTTTACCTTCAGTGTCTTATTCACAGGGTTTCAGGCTAATTCTCCCTGGTTCTTAGACTGGGTAACATACTGGTTTTGTTCCCATTCTGCCACCCACTCAGGAACTGAATTACTGTTTCATGTCTACTTTGGAGATTCTCTTTTTGTTTTTCACTTCCACGCATCAAACCCAGGGCCTTGCATATGTTAGGCAAGGTAAGAGTTCTACCACTGAACTACATCTCAGAATGAACTTTCAAAAATAAATATAATTTTTGAGACACAAATACTGCTCAGCCAAGGAAAGATTCAACCCTAAGAGCCCCAGACTGATTCTGACCCCAAACTAAGTGTTTATGGAACTAGAATGTCATACGCAATGCTGCCAGATGAACAGTGACATTTCAGGGACTCCTGAGCTGTCCTTCCCTTTTAAGCGTGCCTTCACTGTGCATCTCATTCCTGGACACACCTTAAGTCAGACTTTTTCTCAAGCTTCCCTACAACATTCAAATATCCTAAATACCCTAGGAACTTCAGTGGAAAATATCCCCTTATCAGACTAATGTAAAAATGAAGGCCAATTGAGAGCTTTTTTTCCTAAGAAAGAATCAAACAACACCAGAGAATCTGTTTCCCATATAGACACTAAGAAAGCGCTAAATATTTCTCTTGGGTCCTGAGAGAAGTCTGTCCCCCACCGGTTCCCATAACCGGGTTTCCTGAAATGGAGCAGGTCCCCCGTGCCTCTCCACTAATCACATCCTTGGAAATGGGGCCATGAAGCTCAGATTAGCTCATCCCTTCACCTTCTTGAGGCCTTCTCCACCTGGAGCACAGAATGTGGGGCAGCTTCACCACTACTTTCCTATCAGGGGTCAGACAGGGATGCCCTTGCGGAGGGATGTTAGGCCGACGGAAGGGGGCCGGGGACACCAGAGGCCATAAGGGTGCTGCTTTCTGTGCCAGTTCATGGACCACAGCTTCTGTTTTTCCTCTAAGACTCATAGGCAAAGGAAAGATTCCCTTCCTAGGACAATACTGACTGAGCTTTACATAACTAGAATATTTTCTTCTTCGCCCCCATTCCCGGTGCTTTTCTTCCTCTCCTCCTTAAAATGCCTGGCTCAGATACTCAGCAGCTTCCTGTTTTTCCTGGCTGAGTCACCTTCGCACAATCTCTGATTTCTCATCTACCAGTAACAGGTGCTAGGCCAGGCAAGAGATTTCATTTCTCTCCTGTGTCCAACCCTACTTCCCCTGGATAACCAATAAAAACAGAATGTGTTTCTTCCCTCCATAATTGGCTTTTTACCTTCTCTGGAGGCAGGATTGGATTTGTCCTGCCAGCTGATGTCCATCCACTGGAAGGGAAGGGTGCTTTGTGATCAAGAGGCCTTAGGGATGAAGTAGCTGTGCAGCGTGAGCTCCTCACGTGCAACCAAGTAAGCCTATTGATCTGAAGGCCAGCTGATCAACATCATTTGAAAGACTAATAGGCTAATTGGGACAAGGATGCTCCTTCCAGGAGCCCCACTGAAGTGAATATTAGCCCCCCATGTTCAATGATAGGTCAGTCTTTTGTATAAGAAATGGAACGCTGGGGTTGGAGGTATGGCTCAGTTGAAAAGAATGCTAGCCAATGCAATGGACGATCAGCTACCAAGTTCAAGTCCCAGTCTTGAAAACTAAAGAGAGGACAGTACTCTGAAGTACTTTGCCAGGAAAGCTAGGACCCTGAAGCCAGATTTGAACTAATTTTAGGTGGGTGGAGGTCAGTCACAGGGCTTGAACTCTGGGCCTAGGCACTGTCTGTCCCTCAGCTCTTCAGCTCAAGGCAGTGCTCTACCACTTGAGCCACAGCACCACTTCCAGTTTTCTGGTGGTTTATTGGAGACACAAGTCTTACGTTTCCTGCCTGGGCTGGCTTTGAACCTCGATC